ATAATCCATTTATAGATTAAAAATAACCGACTATACAATCATAGTTTTCAGAACAACGACGAAGGAATTTCATATTGTGAAAGAAACGCAAAAATATTTGTTGTATACACACTATTAAATAAGTCTCTTTCAGTGTATCTCACTAAACAAGCATTAGCAAACTGGTCGCCAAATCGACTTGGAAACTTGTTCTTGATATAACACAAAGCTGAAAATGCTCTTTTTACACTTGTAGTTCTAGTTGGTAGAATCAAAACTAGTGAAATTGTCGTTGTCGCTAGACAATTTCAGGATTGTAGGGGATAAGATCGAATAGGCATAAGGAAAAAAGAGATCTAATTAGGTATTTGTTGCAATTGGAATTTCGTTTATAGTATAATAAATTAATTTTACGTAAACTTTTGAACAAACAATGAATTGTGTTGTCGTGACAAAATACTGTAATACTACTTATAGATATTGTGTTCCATCACCAATATAAATATATGGCGTATTTTTGTTTCTTCGAAATTTACCCTTGTCCCGTGACAAGGCCCAAAGGGCCTGCCTCCGCCACTGGTTATAACGTTATGCTGAATAACGAAAAAGTTGTTGTATTCCTTCTCGAACTATGCATTCACTCGTTGCCACTGCGGTCAAGTTTTAGGGTATTTGTGCCATTAACCATACTATAGTTTACCAAGTTTTATCCACCTTCTGACCAACAATGTAGTAAGATCTCATTTCATATTCCGCACAAACTAGAACGTGCATTTTGAAATCCAACTCGTACTTATAATTTCGGGTCGGTTATTCTGACCAACAAGATGCAAACGTGTAATCGGTTAAGGTGGTCACAACACCATTTGTAGGGACATACAATCAAAAATTGGGGTTCTGCAAGACTGCAACTGCTTGATGGACGCGGTCGTAGTTTAATTAAGAATATGACACTACATTCATCCAACAACAACGGCCAACGCCCAATCAAATTAAACGATTGCGGACGTTATACAAACGTCTTTACAAATGGTGTTGTCACCACCCTAGCCAGATTGGCAAAAGTGACTCTGGAAGCTCTTAAGTATACTAATGATAATGGCAATAAAGAAGTGGAGCATGCAAACTTAGCTTTCATAATAGCAATTTTAGTGGTTAATGGAAACCGCCCAATTAATTAACATATTGATCATCAGGGGAAGGTGATTAAGACTAAACTACACACTTAGCATACAAGCCTCTTGTCTTATTGATATGTAATTCGGTACCTCCTGCTGGCTGCTGCTTACTTACGTTACACATACAGGTTGGAGTGCTTGCTACCCCATGTGATGAATGCATCTGTCAAATCCGCGCGCCATATTTACTGCCTAACCATCATTATCGTCCAGCTTAGCTAGCTTCCAACCTCGTTAACCATCATAATTAACTCCACTCGTTGGATTTTAGGGGCCTTTTTAATCCCCCCCTTTTTTTTGTATCTCTTTCACGATGTTCATCACGCTAGCTAGCTTTTGTGTGTCATTCAGCTGCATGAATAATTCTCTGCCTCTCCTTCACAAGAAAAACACACTTAAGTGGCATGTTCTATGTGCAAATTATTACCTTAAAAAGGAAAAGAAGTGACCTTTGTCAACTTGCTTGCATCATGGTAAGTATGTTGATGTTCTGTTGATTATGTCTATGTCATTAAAAAGATCTCAGCTTTTTTGCAGTCCTACTTGATAATCGGTGTGCAATTGGGTGGGTTGGATCATGGTTTGAGACAATCCTATTCGTAAAATACTTGAACTGTTGTGGGTGGGTAGTGGGTACGTAAATCACTATCTGCATTGATGTGGATCGGTGGTAAGTGGGTTGCTTGTCGCTCGAGTGACCCATATCCACGAGCGAAATCGGAAAATAAAATTATGGAGGATAAAAAGAATTACAATCAAAATAATAATATAGAGAAAATACTGATAGTTATCGATTATTTTAACCTCATAAAGTCATTAAACTCACTCAAAATAGTAGTAAACCTAATATTTCTAACACCTTCTCAATATAAAGTTTGAAGTATAAACAAGAAATTGATCATACATGTGTAGTAAATTCTTCAATGTTTTCATGGTTGTAAATACACATTTTTAAATAACGTTCCTATATTTTGGACAAAAATCCGATTTATTTATTTTTAATCATATACCCAAAATTATATCTATAAAATATAACAAACATAATATGATGTTCTATGTCTTCCAAAACCATTGAAAGTAAATAATTTGCATAAATTTATCATAATAATTAATAAGATAACGTTGTAAGTTGGAGGATCCCACTGAAAACTAAGGGGGTGAAACACTAAATACTCCTTAAAAACAATGAATTGTAATGTGGTGAGCTGGTGGCTGCGTACCTTTGAACTCAGGACTTGTTTATTGTTGGCAAATTTAATACAGTACATCAATATTTTTAACAATTAACACGCCACTCACCCAAATAAATATGGGTAGGAACTAGGAAGAGATTTAACAATCATGATTCACTCACATCGATCAATCACCTATCTCTCACAACAACACGAATGATTTATAAGCTGAGTAGTGTTAAATTGCGGTTGAACTATTTTTTTTTTTTTTTTGTTAGCAACATGCATTAAAAAATAATAGCTAGTTTGCCATTTGATTTCTGGTTTGTGCGATATAATTGGTTGGTATATAAGACCATAATTATGAGCGGGGTTAATTGCACCATGTGCCACTTCAATTTACTATTTGTTGCAAGTTAACCACTTAGGTGTGTTTTGTTGCAACTAAACCATTTACGTTAACTTCCGGTTGCATAGTTATCATTTCCGTCTCCCAAACCAACGGTAGGTGTCCCGACATAATTTTCCATGCCACGCGGGCTGCCACATCAGCGGCTGCAGGGTGAGTCACCTGTGGGCCACCACAATCTTTATGGGCCAACAAAACCCAAAGAATTCCTGTGTGGTGAACATCCCCTTCTCCACACTTGATTCCGACAGTCACCGTCAAGCATCCTTCCCTGCACAGAATAGAAAAATCACCAACACAATACTTGGCAAGAGGATCGCACAAAGAAGGAAGAAAGATCGACATACGCAGCAAAAAACCCAGGTAAGTGATCTAGACCCCTATTGTAGTACTCTGTTTCTTACTATGTTCCAATGAACTATCTTGAGAACGATTGAGAGATACATCGAACGAAAACCTATGACTATGATTCTCAGAAAGAAATCGGAGATGACAAGAGATAGAAAGCTAATGGAGGAGAAGAAACTTCTTCTGCTTGGGGATTTTTTTTTCTCTCGAGCATTTTCACCTGCTTTCTCGCGATCACTTACTAGACCCCTGCTGCAGTAATCCCCAATCAGATGTTCTTGTTTGAATGTTGGAGCAATCAAATCCTCCTTAGAACTCTGTGTTTCATTATTTATATGCCTATTTTTATAAATTCTCTGCTTAGTCCATCTGATTTGTTTCATTTTTCTAGAACAATCCTCTAGCTATTATTTGTTTCTGTCATGGTGATAAATGGGCTTGAGCTTAATAATCTACAGATTGACATGACTAGGCTCATAGCTGAAGGGGTTTCTACTACCATAAGCGTGCTTGCATGGAAAGCTCGAGAAGCAAGTGAGGCATATATCCCTTTTGTATCTAATGTTGGGTCTTCAGAGTAAAACTTTGGTAAAAACAAACCTAATCATACTATTCCGTCAATCAGAGAGACGGCTTGTTTTTTGTTACTAAAGAAAAGCTGGAGGTTTTTAGTTGGAGAAACGAGTTTTTCTAATGCAAAGCTATAAACACGCCTAACGTGGAGCTCTATTGTGAAGACCCTGTATGCACCTACGAATATGGGGGTGTAATTTTAATTCAAGTTTGAGCAGAGCTTTATGTCAATGTTGTGTGAGCGTAGCATATCTACTGTCCATTTTCTTGCATGCGCATGTCGATCTTTCTTCCTGCAGATACGCAACGTATATGCATTCGTATTGGCGAGAGAGAACGCTAATTTAGTATTGCAACAGGGGTCTAGATCACTTACCATGTAGGGTGACAGAGTAAGAAATAAATCACCAACGTATCTGCATGCATTCATTGGAATAGAGTAAGAAACAGAGTACTGCAATAGGGGTTTAGATCACTTACCTACGTTTTTGGCTGCGTATCTCGATCTTTCTTCCTTCTTCGTGCAATCGTCTCGCCAAGTATTGCGTTGGTGATTTATCTGTTTTATGCAGGGAACGATGCTCGACAGTTGGCTGCCGGAATCTAGTGTGGAGAAGGAAGTTCACCTCACATGAATTCTTTGGGTTTTGTGGGCCATAAAGATTGTGGTGGCCCACAGGTGACTCATCCAGCAGTTGCTGATGTGGCAGCCCGCGTGGCATGGAAAATTACGTTTGGATACCTACTGTTAGCTAGTTTGGGGGACGGAAATGGTAACTATGCAACCGAAAGTTAACGTAAATGGTTTAGTTGCAACAAAATGCACCTAGATGGTTAACTTGCAACAAATAGTAAACTTAAGTGGCACATGGTGCAATTAACCCTTATGAGCGCAAGCAACAAGGCAAAACACAAGAGGTAGCACTAGCAACTAGCAAGCAAGAGCCAGCTGGTTGTTGCTATTGTTGGTTGGTCGGTGTATATAAACCTGCCGGCCACTTCGTTATATATCTTCGTTTATTGCATTGATAGATGGACACTCAAACCCTTAATTACATGTATATCCCCTAATGAAATCAAGTTGGAGTAGGTTATACAATTAAGCCCTCCCTTCAAAAAAGTGCAGCAACGACCCTACTTAGCTAAAGCTTGAGGGATACATAATGCATAATTATCAAATTGGTGGTGGGTAGACAGTTTCATATCATACGGGCAGTCCGACCGAAAAATCACCTATCAGAACTCAAACGAGTAGACAGTTTTAGCGCGGTAGAAACGAATGAACCACGACCCTCATGCAATTACTATTTACAACCAATATTATTTGGTCAAAAAGGATAGGTTTGTAGTTGGAAGTGTTGATTGCTAGATAGCTGAAAACAGACCAGGGGGGACATTATAACATATAATTTTGAACGGAAGCGAACTGTAGCTAAGGAGGAGATTCTCCCCTGCGGACGCGACTAGGTGAGTTCTTCTCTATTTTGTCTGCTTGTATTCAATATGAAAGGGACGTACACTATGCTTGGGTCTTCTTCACTATTTTATCTTCTTGTATTCAATATGAAAGAGATGTACACTATGCTTGGGTCTTCTTCACTATTTTATCTTCTTACAATATGAATGGGTATCATCACATAGCTGTCCATTTCCATTCCTATAAAACCGTTCATATCTTTGAAGGGGATTCCCACAATTTTCATCCTTTCTCGAGCCGTTGGGTGCTCTTTCGTTCTTTTTTTCTTCTACTTGTTTCTTCTACAGTTGCATAATTGTTCATGGGATGGTCATTTCATGGAATTCATTGTTATTATCCCCAACCATTTCATGTGGTTTATCAGGAGCTGTAGCCTTCTTTTTTTAGTCATGATGCGACTGGTTGGGTAGGTTGAGGCTGTTGCTGTTGCTGTGGAGCTGATGCACACAATACTGTTGCTGCCATTTCTTTCACCGCCACCGCCAGGTTTACCGAAAGACAATGTTGTTGATGAATTGTTGGTGTCGTCTGTGGCAATAGTCACCACGATGGTGATTGGGCTGGGGGAGGTGGATGCGCGAGCGACGAAAGCGGTGGAGGTGTTGGCCGTGGTGACGCACTAGCATGAAGGGCACATGGTGACGGTGGTAGCATGGAGCTGCATGTAGAAAGGCTGAGGCACGTCTCGACGTGACCGGTACCTGACGACGGAGTTTAGCTGGTCGGAGTGCTTCATCACCAGGTCCTCATTGACCACTCTTCTAGAGATTGGCGAAGAGTTCGCTTTCTTCGCCGAACTCGCGCAATTTTGTTGTCTGTTTATTCATTGCCAAATAAAGTCCACTGTATCATTCAAAAAATATGATCATACTTCTTGTGCTATGGTGAATGTACATGAAAGTTGTTGTCACATTCGATTACCTAAATCAAGATTCAACCATAAACTAAATATTACAGTAGCTGGATAAATATGCTAAATATTCTGGGTACTTACTCGAATCAAATTTTTAGCCAGCTACTTAGAACCTGCATGAATCGCGATCAACATCCAATTCATGGTTCAAAAAAACTCAGAAACGCTTTGGCTAAAATTTGCATGCAAAAGAGAACAACAAATCGAACTTAGAGCAAAGAATCGTATGGAAAATTTCCAATTTCCAATTTCCAACCGCCACCGATCTACTTCCAGGGAAGCTTGAATCTAAAGAAACACTCACGCACGGAGTGTCGACGATGGATTGTGACCCTGTGATATTTGGAGGTAGCGAGCGAAGCGAAAATCAACTAAGAAATTGATTCGGATAAAAACAACCGTTCTGGTCTTTGTCGTGCTGTCATGTTTGCGTGGCCTCTCGATCAGAGTATGATTTCTTCTCTTTCGTTTCTTTCCTATTTTTCGTTTTCTGTTCTTTTGTTCGCTCTTCCCTGTCCTGTTGAGGTTAATTACTCTTGTCGATCTCTTTGTGTTTTGTTTCATTTCTACTATTTTCCCTTCCAGGTTGATAAGATCATGTCTCCTAATCTCTGTTTGTTCTTGTCGGACTTTCTTTTTGGCCCAAACATCTCTTGTAGTGAGTGACATATGAAATTGAGGTAATGATATATGTATGTATGTATTAAGATTGATATAAATTTTGATCCCTGACTTGAGAGTAAAACTCCTAGCAATTATAACAGATTACTTTTGTTACTAAAAGGAGATATAATAAAATGAATTAATATCAATAATTTCTTTTGTTTGGCCCATGAACAAGTTTACTGGACACATTTATTTTATTCGAAAGAAAATCGTGAACTGTACAAAAAGATCAGTTAAATCCAACAAGAATAAGGGGATGATTGCACCGATTTGGTTATTATAAATTCAAGGCATGAAGATGTATAGTAGGTATCGTTCGTCAAATAATAGTTCATAAAAGAAAGTAGAAGCGACTGTGCAGAAGAAATCGATGTAACATAAACTCTAAACTATGGTTATAACTTTTTTGTTACTATAAGAAACAAATGTCATCAGAATGTAGGTATTTTCACCTATACATCTACGACAGCAAGTGGATGGACAGTCTTCAATCTATAGACGGGCAGGGCAACAACCAACCAGTAAATCAATGGTTACAGACCAAAATGGTCAAAAAGTCTTGATCGGTCAGACCCATCGAAATGTGAAACCATGCATCACATCTTCTTTCTGCTTGAATTCTCGAACTTGGGCCTTGGGGTACTAGGTGAGTTATTCTCTATTTTGCCTGCTTGAATTCAATATGAAAGGGACGTACACTATGCTTGGGTCTTCTTCTCTATTTTATCTTCTTGTATTATATATGAAATGGACGTACACTATTATTAGGTTCCTATAGTCAGTGTGCACTATTGTTTTCCCATACATGCATTGTAGGAGGCTTTTGATATCGTCTAGGTGAGCTCTTTTTTGTTTTATCTGCTTGTACTCAATACGAAAAAGACATATACTATGCTCGGGCCCCTATGGTTGGTGTATGTTGTTGAATCGACGTAACCTAAACTCTAAATTATGGTTGTTACTTTTTTGTTACTATAAGAAACAAAAGCCATCAGAATGTTAGTATTTTTCACCTATACATCTATGGCTGCAAGTGGATGGACAGTCTTTAATCTGTAGACGGACATGGCAACAACTAACCATTAATTAATGCTACAAATCAAAATGGTCAAAAGGTCTTGATCAGTCGGACCCATCAAAATGTGAAGCCATACATCGCATATTCTTTCTACTTGAATTTTCAAACTAGGGCCTTTGGTACAGGCGTACATCAAGTTGAAGGCAAATGTTGGCCCATTAAATAGTGAAGAGAAATGGACAGGTCCGAAAGAGAAGAGATATGAAATAATTTGGCTATTTCGGAAAGTTAACGTCGGTGTTCAATTATTATGTTGCCAGTTGCAGTACTGCTTATAATAAGACAAAAAAGACATCATTTTCAAGCTTGAAACTCATTTATTATGCACGATGATAAGTCAAACTTACTATTTATATACAATGTGTTGTACGTTTCTCAAATACAGTTGTTATTATAAAGCAAATAGTTCTCCATGGCAGTTTATGCATGGAAGAATTTGTATATTTGTTTTTTGTATGTTTTAATTGTACATTTTATGATATTTTACTTCAATACCTTGATTTTGCATGAATGGTGTTATGTTTATGTTTTCAATATACGGGCAGTGTTCTCCATAAAAGAGGACTAGCACATGCCATGCGCCATGAACTACAAACTTGACCAATCTCTGATGTCAATTCAAGTGTGTCGAGAGTGTTGAATGTCTTCACTAATATATCTGAATCCATGTCCTCCCATTTTCTCTCTGAAGAGCCGCTTTCGTTCATCCTTTGCTTTTTTGTTTCATTGGAATCGTGGTTCTTCATATGTCTAGCCATTGTCTTAAATAGATGACATAAATGAATGGCACACTGTGGCTGTTAGTTTTTCATATTTTCACTAAATTGCATGTTTTTAGTTTTAGTGTTTTATTGATGGACACAAAATATGAGTCCTCTATATCTATTACAATCATCACCCGCCACAATTCAGACCAAGCAAAAAGCGGCTAAACAATAGTGTGCATGTAACTATCTAACAATACTATATTCTTGGCTGTAATTTTTTTTTTATTGGGATATGCATACAAACAAATAAAATAAGAACCCCAATTGTGTATGGAACATTATTGGTCCAACCTTGTCTTCATGCACGTGTAGATGTTGAAAAATAAGAGATGAATTAGCAATTATTCATTTTAAAACTTTGAGTATTATTTTATGAAGGATTCGTATGGGAAGCTCGTACATAGTAAAACAAAATAAGTCATTTAAATATGTGGGTGTAATGATATATGTATGTATGTATTAAGATTTATATAAATTTGATCTCATGATCTTGAGAGTAAAACGCTTAGCAATTACAACAGATAACTTTTGTATTCAAAATGAATTAGTATTAGTAATTTCTTGGGGTAATACCACTGGAAATACCATTCTTTAGCGAAAGTGTCATTTATATTACGTACTTTCAATAAACACAAAAATATTCCAACGTATTAGGGATTTGTGTCATTTGTGTTACGCACATTTTTGTTGACCGTTAGAATTGACGGTTGACCTGACGGTGGTCAACTTATGTTTGATTATTGCTTATGTGGCGCTTAGGTGTCACCCGGATATGTGCCACATAAGAAATTGCTATTTTAAAAATATTAATTTTATTTCAAAAATAAATAAATTAATATTACTAATTTATTTTAAAATACTTTTTATCTAAATACTCTTTCTCTCGCCTCCCCGTCGTCATGCCCATCTGCTTCTTCCGTCGATCACCAACGCCGCTCTGACGACGGAGGCAGGGAGCTCGTCTTCTTCCTTCTCGATTAGCGGTCGTTTCTGATCTTCAACTTGCACATGCAAGCCGGGATCTGAGCGACGCGAGAGAGCTCGTCTAAATCCCTCTTCTCCTCCACTTATATCTCCTTCTCCATCTCGACGGCGACAACCACCATAAAAGCTTCCCCACATTGAATTAACCCACCCCCTCCAATTAACCCACCCAGGCGACAACCACCAGAGAAGCCAATACCACTCCTTCCGCTCCTCATCCATTTATCCACCACCTATCTATCCTTCCTCCCTCCCTTAGTCGACGGCGGCAACTACCGGGAGAAACTCTCACCTCCAATTAAACCCTCCCATCGAATTAACCCACGAGCCCGATGAGTTTTCCCAGACCCAAATTGTCGGCCGCCATGTAATCCCCACCATTCTCTCAGATTGAAGCTCCGCCACATTACCTCCGTCTGGTAGAGGTGCGATTCAGATCCGCGATGATATCGTGGGGAAGTAGCGCTGCGGCTGCCATCTTGACTTTCCCCTGAGCAGCATCTTCCACTTGTGGAATCGCTTCCCTTCCACCACTTCTACCTCCGCGTTTGACTTGAACTCGACAATTGAATTCGTCCATAGAGCAGAGGAATCGAACTCGGAAGGAACTCGTCTTGTTTATTATCATCGATTAGTAGAGGGTTGGTGAGTTCTGCGATCAATTGTGGGTTGTGGGTCACAAAAAACCCTCCCTCTCTCGCTCCACCTTCGCCACTGCTCCGCTCCACCTTCGTCACCAATCGGCGGCTGGAGATTGATGTCGGTGGTCTGGAGAAGGGGAGAGAGGGGTCGTGGGGAGGCACTGATATTTGTTCATTTTTGTACTTTTTATTTTGTTTTGATTTTTTTTTTTATTAAAAATTTCCACGTCAGTTGCCATGTCATTGTTGACTGTATTTTTCGTTAATCATTAACGGAAAACTTAACAGTTGGTATACAATTGTCATATCGAAAATTGCGTAATATAAATGACACTTTCGCTAAAGGTTGGTATTTCTAGTGGTATTAGCCCTAATTTCTTTTATCTGGCCCATGTACAAGGTTACTGTACACAATTATTTTCTTCAAAACTATATCGTGAACTGTACAAAAAGAACGGTTCAAATCCAACAAGAATAAAGTGATAACTGTACCAATTTGGTTACAGGAAATTCAAGACAGGAAATGCATGACAGGTATCATCCGTCAAATAATAGTTAGTAAAAGAAAGCATAAGCGACTGTGTAGAAGAAATCGACATAACCTAAACTCTA